GTTCAACTGATGCTTACACATGTATAGAGATGATTATGCCGCTTAAAGTACATCGATCCCAAACATAACAATAAATCTTAAAACGGAATAAACTTTAAAAAAAAATTTCTATAAGAAATGTTTTACAATTTACAATCCAGAATCAAATTTTAAAAATTATGCTCATTTTGTTACAGTAACTGTTAAAACTTAAAAGCTGTCAAAAGAATCATTTATGTCGAATACTCGTATGTAGTTCTAAAAACATCTGATTTCTATAAATACATTAACTGCATACATGATGAATATATTCGAAAATGCATTTTCATTCCATCTAAGAATGTGCGAGTGTGCCATACAAACTTATATGTTTCTTTATGCTACAATCCACATTTAAGCACACGATTAAGCTTTATATTTTATTTGCAAAAAAACACTTAAAGATTAAGACATAATATAGGCTGAAATTCGGTTGAATCAATAAATGTTAAATATTTCTGAATTATACGATGATTTGATAATAATTCTGACGTAGCTTTTACGTCATCACCATCATTGCATTATCATTTCGACAAATGCTTATTGACGAGGGAGATTACGACCGCTTCAGAAGAAATGCGCATGCTTTAATGCGAGTCAATTAAATATATCTACCATACACATATTAATATGTTTTTATTTCACACCAGGCCGAGCTTGTTTAATTCATTTTCACTTATATACAGTGTAGTGTTATATTATTGTAGTGTTATATAAGTTATTGAGGTGTGTTATAAGTTATTGTAGTGTAATAAAAGTTATTGTAATTTTATATATGTAATTGTAGTGTAATAAAATTATTGCAGTGCTATACATTTATTGTAGTGTTTCATATGTTCTTGTAGTATTGATTTAAGTTATTGTAGTTTTATTGAAGTTATTGTAGGGTTATACATGTATATGAAATTTATAAATGAAATGCACTTTTGAATACAACGATTCCATGTCATTATTAACGTTTATGTTTTCAAACGAAACGAAAGTTTGTATCAAAGACAACAATTAAGAACCAATTAATTGACATTAACGGATCTCCAAAATATCTTACCGAAAACATTTAACTCTTGATGATGACAAATGATATTCATATATATTAAGAATTTTGATTGTAAAACAATAACAGCATTGTATTAAAAAAAGTATGAAACAAGACTGTATGTTGACACGAGGAAGAATCGCCTATTCTTTGTTTCAATAACCGTTGATTTGCAAGGTATTGTACATGTATAACGCTGCTAGGAAAACGCCGTTACAAAATTTTAACAGCATGTGAAAAATTATACGTTTGATCTATAGATTCTAGCATATTAATTGATAAAGCCTAAATCGGTTATAATACAAAATGGTGCATTGTTCTTTGTGCATCAAGGGCAAACCCAGTCTTTAACCTTCTCAGCTTATGTTCATTTGAATATTTTCACGACATTACATAACAGGGTTCGTTTTTCTATGTAAGGTTTAATGATTATGCAAGTAATATTTCAGCTAGCTCAGACAAAACATAATTTTCACATTTATATGAATTATTGACTAAAGCAAATTAATATCAGATGAATTCTTAATCCTATAGGTAATAATTGGCACCCGAACATCATTAACATAGTTTATCTATAGTTTTGAGATAGCAAATAACTATAATAATAAATAAAAAAAAACTTAGAGAAATGATGTCCCGGACATCTTAATGGCATGTTAATGAAGTGAATCTATCAGATAATGTTGTTATAACAAGAGGATTGTTATGATAAAAATCGGTCGTTGACTTCCAACAAAAGGCTGCCTGTCTGTCTTGTAGGATATAATTGTAAATTCGGATACCTGCTGGCAAAAGTAACAAATACTTGAAATTCAAAGGTCAGACGACATAAAAGTAAAGTTATGCAACAATATCGTTTCCAATCCACGAATACATGGGACAATAAAACTGTGAGAGGTTTGAGAAAAACATAGGAAAAGGGAGCAAAACAATAACCGACTCTGTATACATTGTAATAAAACAGAGGCAGAACAAAATGCACAGATGCTGTTTATTTGACAGGAAATAAAGGTAGTGCACAATACTTAGAGGGTAGAGGATCGGTCAAACTTAAAATGTTCCCGTTAATTTTATATCTTAGTATAGAGGACGAGTAGTGTTTCTCCTCAAATAATTGTATTTCTTTTAAAGAACACTTTTAATTGATATGTCGATGTGTTACCTTTACAAGACATGGAGTTGAATAGATGTTAAATTTAGAGACAGTTTCAGTATTTTACAAAACAATTATGATATCAGTCGAAGAAAATTAAAAAGGCATAATCCTGTAGAGATAATAGAGAAAAATATATAAATCATGTGACAATAAATGTTCTGCAATGAACAAAAATGATGAACATCAATCACCTCTCTTGCGTGGGTTCGATCCCCGGGAGATGCTTTGGTAGTTCAGCACGGAGGAAGGTAGTCTAGTACTGGTGTTATTCTCCAGGAACGATGGTTAGGAACCTACCCGCCTAAATGACTGAAATACTGTTGAGAAAATGCGTAAAATGAATCAAACAAACAAACAAAAAAATCAATCAGAAGTATAAAAAGGCTTATTTTCAGTTAATAACTGCAACACTACATATTATCTGCACTTCGAATGCTGATAAAATACTATTTTCAGTGCCAGTAAATTCCATGTGTGATGCCTAATATTGAACACACTTATTTTGTATTAGATAGATATTTTATTAAACATTTGACATATTGCAAAATCTAACTATATAGATTGAAATCAGTTTTTAACGAACCCGTGATTTATATCTTATCATTTTTCTAACTCACGACTGAAGACTACGCGATATATTTAACACTGGATTCTTGTTATATAATGCACAATTTCGTCCTTAAAGCCTAATTATACAGTTATAAACTCTGCAATATAAACCCTTTTGCCATGTAAACTTACCCATTTGGCAATCTGATAATGTCGAGAATGTAGCCGCTTGTCTTATTAATGTCAAAAATCAGACATGTTTGCAGTGAAGATGCATTAGTTCGTGCCGAATCAGAAATAAACCTTTATAAATTTTCCCATTTCGAAAAAAAATATATATATTATTCAATCAATTGAATAGAATATACGACATTAACAGAGACCGTCTTTAGACAAATTAAACTGAATAAATGTTTATAAATTATATTGAATAAAGAAAAACGAATCCATGAAGGACACGCATAAAGGAAGAATGAAAATGTGGCAGACTCGATTTGATTGAACCTGTTAATGGATGGTTGTGGTTAAAAGCAAGGTACCGTCCACGGCCGCCCTAGTGCCGACTCCAACAGAATTCAACATTTAAATAATAATTATATGAAAACAACGAAATGTTAAAATTTTAAGAACAGCAGATGAGTTCATTAAGTCACTTAAAAGCTAAAATGGCATGCTTAAATTGGTCGATAAATTACTACAAGTTGACTATTTGATAAAAGATTTATAAATATTTATGATAACTGCACATACAAACATTCGGGCATGAGACGGTCTTTATATCTAATCACTAGTGTGTAAAATAAGTTACTTAATATCATGTACATTAAATAAGGAACTGCTTCTCTGAATAACAATAAAAATGCTATTTTCTACTTGACCGAATTGAATAAAAATCTTTCAAATTGAGCAATTATTCGAACATTGACTGTCTTATCATCCTAAGATAAAGTCTAGTTATAACTTTGATTAACCAAAACAATTCACATTATTATCATTTGTATTTTTAAATGCCATTATAATCTTTATGGTCGCTCTTAAAATGATAAAAGGTTGATGTCTTTATAATTGAATGTTTTATCAACGTCTGGTTATGAAAATGGTTGTTTATTGTTCATAACCAAACGCTTGGTGAAAATGTTAAATTTATACAATGAAGATCGATGCAGATAAATGTAAAAGATATAAAAGCAGCAACGGTTAGAAAATTCGTTACGCATAAGAGCACAATATGATTTTCTTATTGACCTCCAACCCCAAAAACATTTGTTTAAAACAAAATGTCATCAAATTCTAGCAGTACAAATACTAGTAACTGAATCGGTGTCAGAAATCTCAAACAATTAATTATCAAGTAACATCTATACAACATTTGATATTTTAAAATATAAATACGTTTGGTTTTAAGCCAGGGTTTGTGTATGATGGCCGATTCATATCACTGGCAAATCATCTAAATAACCCGACAAAAATCCTTTATTTCCTTTTATTTGTAGGAGCACAACGACAACACCGAAATTTGTAGCTGCCAGGAGTAGGTGGAAGGTGCAAATACGGTAACTAAAGTATAAGGACATTGTAAGACAATCATTTTAATGTGCGTTCCTAAGTATGTCTAAATTACAGAAGTGTTGGTACGTCACTACATATTGTACAATGCTGATGAAAGTGACTTGGGGCGCCTAACAATGGTTAATTGTATTAAAAAATATTGAAACTTATTACACAGTCTCTTTGTTAATATAAATAAATATCTTTTGACTTCACACAAAGTAGATATAAAATGTTTAAAATTCTACACACCATGATGGTCATAATGTGAAAATATAGTGTCATTAAAAAACTGGCATTTTTTGAAAGAAAAGACCAAGTCTACTTTACCTGTATTAGGGAACACAGCTTTCCATACATAATTTATTCAGTATTTTATTCGCATTAGACATATTCAGTAAAATAATATTTCATAAATTTCAAAAATTTCTGAGATAAACATATTTTACTCAAGGATCAGCATAGTAAATGTTTAGGACACAACGAAATATAACACACTATAAAAGAAAATCTTTACTCATGAAGTCCTTAGAACAATCCCTATCAGACTCCTTAAATAATTCATGAAAATGCTAACGTTTATTTGTTTTGTTTATCTTTGTTTGTCAAACATTATATATTCTATAAATCAGTCCAAATTGTTCTAGTAAATTTATCATTCAATCAAAACGAAACCAATCACGTATAACTTACCTCTTGATTGTATGGGACAAGTCAAAATGTTTTCAGCATCCACAAGTGTCAATGTCTTGAAAGAAATACCTACGACAACTCTTTTACACTCTGAAAGTAAACGATATCATATTTACTCAAATATAAAGTATTAAGTCTGTCATTCAACGCTTAATTCACATTCGCTGGTTAAGTTCCACAGTAATTAAGTTGTCAATGTACATTGTAATGTTTTTGTAAGGTCTTAAGTGTATTAAACGAATGTTTCAAAACTGGAAAGCTTCTTTTGCTGCTTTAAAGAAACATGTGAAAAAAGTAAAATATGTACATATGCCTTCGTATTTATTAAACAACACATTTCAACAGCTTGATTTGTTACATTTCAAGAACGATATTTCAATGCCCAACTCAAAAACTTTTGTTAAAACAATGTCATCAATTCTAGCACCAAATACTAGTAATAAATCGGTGTAAATCAAAATAATATAAGTAACATTAACATCATTTGATAGTTTAAAATATAAATACGTTTGGTTTTTAAGCCAGGGTTTGTGTATGATGGCCGATTCATATCACTGGCAAATCATCTAAATAACCCGACAAAAATCCTTTATTTCCTTTATTTGTAGGAAGCACAACGACAACACCGAAAGTTGTAGCTGCCAGGAGTAGGTGGAAGGTGCAAATACGGTAACTTAAGTATAAGGACATTGTAAGACAATCATTTTAATGTGCGTTCTAAGTATGTCTAAATTACAGAAGTGTTGGGTACGTCACTACATATTGTAGCAATGCTGAATGAAAGTGGACTTGGGGCGCCTAACAATGATTAATTGTATTAAAAAGTATTGAAAACTAATTACACAGTCTCTTTGTTAATATAAATAAAATATCTTTGACTTCACACAAAGTAGATATAAAATGTTTAAAATTCTACACACCATGATGGTTCATAATGTGAAAATATAGTGTCATTAAAAACTGGCATTTTTTGAAAGAAAAGACCAAGTCTACTTTACCTGTATTAGGGAACACAGCTTTCCATACATAATTTATTCAGTATTTTATTCACATTAGACACATTCAGTAAAAAAAATATTCATAAATTTCAAAATTTCTGAGATTAACATATTTTACTCAAGGATCAGCATAGTAAATGTTTAGGACACAACGAAATATAACACACTATAAAAGAAAATCTTTACTCACTCATGAAGTCCTTAGAACAATCCCTAATCAGACTCCTTAAATAATTCATGAAAATGCTTAACGTTTATTTGTTTTGTTTAGCTTTGTTTGTCAACATTATTCATTCTATAAATCAGTCCAAATTGTTCTAGTAAATTTATCATTCAATTCAAACGAAACCAATCACGTATAACTTACCTCTTGACAAGTCGAAATGTTTTCAGCATCCACTATTGTCAATGTCTTGAAAGAAATACCTACGACAACTCTTTTACACTCTGAAAGTAAACGATATCATATTTACTCAAATATAAAGTATTATGTCATTCAACGCTTAATTCACATTCGCTGGTTATGTTCCACAGTAATTAAGTTGTCAATGTACATTGTAATGTTTTTGTTTATTAAGCGAATGTTTCAAAACTGAAAAGCTTCTTTTGCTGCTTTAAAGAAACATGTGAAAAAAGTAAAATATGTACATATGCTTTCGGATTTATTAAACAACACATTTCAACCAAGCTGTTGTTTATAATTTCAGAACGATATCAGGCAACTATTCTTTTTGATTAAACAGATTATACAGCACCAAATCGCAGAATAAAAGTTATCAAAATATTTGATTCACCTTAGAAGCCTGGTTTGGAAACATGACGTCTAGAATAATTATAAGCTTCTACCTCGCTTATATTATCTAAATGATGAAGAACTTGTCTAGCAACGATGTAAAGTATATACTTCAACCGGACAATGTATAAAAAAAATTCTGACATCTAAGCATAATAGGTTCTATATTCTATGAACAAGGTCATTTTCTCATACAATGTTTAATTACAATATTCTATTTATATTATTTCATTTGATCTATCTGGATGAAAAATGCCTCAATGCGCTATCGACAGCTTGCTGCAAATTTGTTTGCATGATAACGAATCATTAGTGCATGCCATAAAAATACATAATTCTTGTTCCTTCCGCGATTATTACAGATAAGGTTAAGCAATCGACAAGTAGCCAATAGTATACGAAAATATCGTTCATGTTGAAAAAAGATTCAAAAGAAAAAGACTTTTATTGCACTTCGCAGTTTAGCAAACGTACTTTTAACTTTCAAAGTAAATAGTAAATAAGAAAATAAATATTGGTTTGATTTGCAATTTTAATATATTTCCACGTGGTAATTTAGTTCTTCGTGTTAAAACTACCCAGTTTATAGATGTCATCAGAAGTATCACAAAAAAGCACGGCAAAGAACCTTCTTTCATTAGGGCAGAATGTGCAAGAAATGAGAACTGACCATTAACAACATACCAGGCGAATGTGATAAGTTATTTGTATAAAGCTTTAAATACATTGTTTAAAAGTGAGAGTCATCTATAAGTACTTGTTATTTCATGTTGGGATAAACTATGACAGCACGTCGATCAATGGTTCTTTTTTAATTCACCCAAAAGCTAATGTAATAAATTTTAGCTTGGGAGATTATTTCACAAGAAAACGAATGTTTTTGCAAAAAAGAAAAAGCTACTTTCTGTTTTTTATAGATTTTTTTATAGATAATTGCTTATAATAAGTTAAAAATATAGCTTTTATCATATTTATTTGTTATTGTTCTTTTAGTTGTAATTACCAAATAAATAAAAAAAACCGAACACTAATCTTTGTATGATAGCAATACAGTTACTCTTAAGATTTTTGCAACAATTGTCTGAAAAAATATAATACTTCGTTATTAATTCTGATAAATATACTCCTAGACTGGAAGATTCACAAGGTGAAACATTTATGTCTTTTACGTTGAAAACTCCTAATTTGTCTGGACTTTCAAAGGAAATAAGATCGGATTCCTTGTGGAGGAAATGCTATAATTTATCTTTCGGGACTCAGCAAATTATCTGTTTTATCATAACACTTTACTAATTTGGAAAAAGGAAGAATCTTTAGACAGCGCTATTTACAGATAACTTTGTACAAAGAATTTAGTAGCTCTACGACGGGTTGAAAATACTTCAAAACAAAGGACACTTCTGTGTCATGTATTAAGCACATTTTAATTAACTTTTATTAAATGACGAAACATTAGAGTAAATTAAAGCAAAAGATGAATTGTAATATAATGCTGGGTCCTGATTCAAATTCCGCTTTCCAGCATAATTAAATTGTTCTTACAACACTTGCACTCTTATCAAACGACTCTATTTATATTTGTACAAGTGTTGACTCTAAACATAAATGAATAAGCATATTCTAATTTAAAAAAAAAACGCCTCCATGACGTTTGTTTTATTACAGCGTACTTGATTTGACAAGCTAAACAGTTCTTCATTGTTCTATTTTTCTTTATTTTTGAAACAGTGATATAATTGACAGTTTTAATGTAAGGGAAAATATTTTATATTAAGCTGAATGTATAAATAAGAAACACTCTTCAAAATATCAACAGAATGTTATAAAACAGTACTCAGGTTTTTGGTACTTTCTCCATGCAAAAGGCAAAAAAAAATTTGAAATGGTTTATTGTGGGTGGTGCTCAAAATTAATGGTCTAAGAGAAAATATTCATTGTTTATTGCAGCTTGTTGACCGAATTCCAACTTATTAATGCTTAATGTTCAATTTACGATGTGGCAATGATTATGACAATTATACATAAAAAATAAATTCAGTTTCTTCTTTGCAAAATGTCTTTCACAATCCTACTTAAAATTTCGGCATCATCCAGACAAATAATAGTGTATTTCAGTTGAGTATCAAAACAGGTAATTGGCATCTATCTGCTCTCATTCGCCCATTTATAAAACAAAAACGACGACCTACCAACTTTACAATGGGTAACCGGACAGTTTTGTCACTAAAATGAGCTTTATCTGAATCATTTAAAGCTGCATTCAATAATTGTTTTTGATGAACCAATATTATCAACAAATGTACCACTACTTGTCTGAATCGTCTGTCTTTAAACAAACAGAATGTTTATCAACATAAAAAACCCTCATTTCAGCACAGGATTGGGGTTAATGGTCTCATTCATAGCACTTAAAGATAAAATTGTGAGTAAAAGCGGCAATAAACTTTAACCAATTATTGTTTTGCATGCACAAGTGAGTGAAGAGTTGTTATGTTGATATAGCTTTAATGTCATTACCTTCCTAACATAACTTGGACTTCATTCGATTTCATTTTTTTTGGGGTTTATTACTTGATATTTTCTTGATATCAATACAGCAATGTTTGTTTACCCTTGCGATTGTCATACCGAAATTGTCATATGGCTTCTTATAAGTTTAATGAAGCATTATTTCCGACTAGAGCAGGCACCTGAAATAAAACTGCAATATATCTTGGTAGCTTTTTCACAAAAGAACCCTACGGACATGTGGACGTGAATACCGAAAGTAAAAGTGCATGCATACTTTTAACCCCAGACTCTGCTCGGCTCATTCATGCACATCTTTGAATGCGGTTAAACAACATAACGCAAGTATAGGCATTAGGAAGCTATTCAGAAAACTGCCAAATAATTACAAATTTTAAATTTTCTAAGTTGAATTTGGCACTTGTAAACCATTAACATATTTTGTCTGCGGCATGGCAATTTCTAACTTATCTCTATGAATAAAAAGTAGTATAAAAAACTAGTAGCAGATTCCTTGATTGCGTGGTACCCAAGAGTGTTATTTAGTAATAATTATATTATGACGGGGAGCTTGTTATGAAATATACTGGTCGTTGACCTTTCTGAATATCTCCCTCAATTACCAATAAATCTCAGCCAAATATTCAGAGAAAACTAGTATGGATTTGAAAATCAAGTACAAAATTAAAGAATAGGTATTATTTTATTTAATCAAACCAATAAACGTTATGTGAAACTTTCTGTCATTCCCCATTATCACGAGCTTTCAATTCTTTACATTTGTTAAATGA